TGGGCTCTTAATATTTAACTTCTTTCTCCCTATAGGTACCTGTACCCTGACATATAAAGTTAGTCAATCTGTGTTTGGTTTCCTGTGTATTCTATATTGACGATAACTATTTTTAATTTTTCATTGCAACATGGCAAAACAGATTGGTTTTTTTTTTTTTATAAAAGTATGCATTTGCTCAATTTTCACACCATCTGGAGATTTTAAACGAAACGGGATCACTTAGTTTCAGTCTCAGTTGTAAGGTTAAAAGGACGAACTGGTGATTTAAATGTTCATACCAGGGTTATTATTTATCATGCATAAATTAGACGTATTCTCTCACTTTATTACAAATTACAGTGATAATAATTCAATTCATATTAGGCTCTACATATAGTTTATATGTCTTTTTATTATCAAGATTTGATCATGTATTGAGTTGTTTCCCGCGTGTGTAATGAAACCCTTATGAATGTTCCAAAATGTACCTTGACCCTCTTGTTGCATTGTATTTCAACCGACTCTGCACAGGCTTTGAATATAAATCGGTCTTACTCCCGAAAAGTATTGATTGATTGATAAATGTTTAACGTCCTTCTCGAGTATTTTTCACTCATATGGAGATGCCATCACTTGGATGGCTACAGATTTTCACCTAAGCTCGCCGCTCAGGGCCATTTAGCGGAGAGTGATCTTTTTTGTGCCAGCACCTACAGCGGCAAGAGACTTTGGTTTATACAGTCTCTTCCGAAAAACCGGACTCCACGTCCCACACTGGATCATCTCCTTGCTAAGCTACTCTAGAGCAGACGCTCTAACCAATGCGCCACGCGGGCTACCCCGGATAATATTAGATAGGGCTTTGAACTACTATATGAAATATACGAACAAACAGTATCCAAGCTTAAAAGTCCATAAACAATACAAAATAATAGTAGCAGAGCAAACACGGGCCTCCAAAAAATCAGAGGTGGGATCAGGTGCCATAGATGAGTGAGTATCTCCTACCGACCGGTCACGCCCGCAGTTTATTTACACACTTTTAACATTTCTTTTAAACTTCTTTCAATTTTCTTTAAAAATTATATTTTAAAATACCTTGTCCTTGTAGGGTAGAGTGCAATTTTGATTTAAGTAATAAAGCATTCCTAAAAGAATCGTTCATTTTGAAGGCAGTAAAATAATGAGCACAAAACTACATTCAATTGATGAAAAAGTTTTAATCGTACAAATCTCTTAGCATTGGAAGTTATACGAGTTTGTACCAGTTACAATTAAAACTAACTTCCTTATTTTTGCTGGGTTTTTTTCCAGATTAACATTTTTATTTCTTCATACAGCTGAACTTATTATTTTTCTTTCCGGAATAAAAATGCAGATTTCCTAGCTCTAAATAATATCTTGTTATTAGTTTCCTTCTCTCCCAAAATCAAACGGTACTTTACAAATATATTTATATCGCAGTTCCAGGAAGATCTAGTTCTCTTGAATATGAATTTAATGTTCGAAAAGACTTTTTGTCAAATGTAAGGAACGATATCGATTTGTAATACAACTGAATTTGTATTTTTTTCCGAAACATGAAAATCAGACTTCCAAGTTCAAAATAACATCTTTTATGATCTTCTTATCTTCCAAAAACAAATTGAAGCTTTTAAACATATTTAAACCAACCTTGTGAGAAAATAAACTTCATTTACCAAGGTTAATTTTACGTTGGAAAAACTTTTCTACAATTCAACGACTATATGATACACAACGTACATGTATTTGTATTTATCATAAGACTGCTACCTTCTGGCTAAAATGTCACAATTTTCTTAATTAAACCATTGCAAGTGCAACGAGATGTTCCTAGTTTTTAAAAAAAATTATTTATATATATATATATATATATACAGGACATTCTGTGCAGATGAATGGTGAAAATGTTTGTATCTTTATATTGTGTTGACTATAGATAAAAAGAGAAAACTACACTGTAAGAACTATAACTTGTATGGCTATCGAGTTGAAGACAGTTTTTCATATGAATTCATATGAAGATAACGAAGGGTATTCTAGATCAAAAGTCCATATAATAATACAAAACACGGACCTACAAACATCAAAGGTGGGATCAGGTGCCATGGAGGAGGGAGCATCCCCTGCTGACCAGTTACAATTGCATACAATAAGTATGAAAAACGTCAGGCAGCATTTGAGTCAATGATAAATTGTATTTTTTGACGATGTCATTGTATCGATTATAGAACTTATTGAAACATAACGAAATGATGACTTTAAAAGAGACTGCTGATATTCTTGTTTCATCAACTTGTTTGTCAATAAAAAAAAAAACCCTCGTTTCAGAACTTGTTCATACGAAAAGCGTGCTCTCGTGTATCGAATCAACTGATATATATACTTTTCTTAGGTGATAAAGGTATATTGATGAATGAAAAATTAAAGCCATCACGTTTATCATACAGCTTGGTTGTTACATTACCATTAACGTCTTTTTCTAGTAAAATATCTAAATATGATATAAATATGTCTGACTCTGTGGTATCTTTTATCTCTAGCTCACCAGGTTATATAGTATCGATATAGGAATGGAAAATATAATTGTTAATCGATCATACCTCGTCGATATATCAAATGACGAGTTGAAGGCCACAACAAGTGTTTCTTTCTTCTTTTCACGTGTAAGATTTTGCACAAATCATGCTTCATATGATTAAAAAAAAATAGATCTACTAAGGGTCTCTATCATTCCTTATTTAGAAATAATATCCCATCCTCTTTCTTTTTCTTTGTACACAAGTTTTCCCGATTAAACGCTATGCTCAAAAGCATTCTCCGACTCTACCACAAAGAACGATATGTAACAGAAAATGAAGACAAGGCATGTCTTTTCTGAGGGTATAATAGTAGATTAATGGAATTTACGAGGTGGGACCAGGTTCCCTTGATGAGTAAGAATTTAAACATTAAGAGGCCAGGAATCAGGTGCCTAGAAGGAGTAAGGAGTTAAACAAAAGTATTTCTGCACATAGGAGATTCAAAACCTGATCATAGTGAGAAGTTTTTTATACGCGAGCAATAGGGAAAAATTGATGTGTTGTGAAAAAAAAAATGTTTCAGATCATCTTAGTTGTGGAGGAAATGTTGCTTGTGATGTTCTTAAAGGCCAAAAAGGCCAATTTATTTCTGAAGCCGCAACACCTGCAATGGAATCACATTGATGTATGGACTAGAGGGTTAAAAATCCGAAGCATACAAGACATACACTTTGATTTTAGTCACACGGATCTAGCAAGTTCTAATATACTGCCTTTATCTTGTGTGCAGTTAAAGCGAGTACAGTCTCATTATCAGAGCATTTATTCTTTCAAGGAATTGTATAATCCTCGGGAATTTAGATGTTGATGTTTGAGTCAAGCTAATATGATGGAATTAGGCATTTGAACTATTCTTTCCAAACGGTTGTGAAGAGGCGCGCATCTGCTGATAAACCCGGATTACTATTTTTAACACTTTTTAAAAATAAATCCAATGAACGTAGAACCTACGTCGTATGACATCATAACTAGTGAATGTGTTTAGCCTGTGCTAGATCCATTATGACGTCATAATTAATTCAATGTCATTTCCAGTACTTTACAGCCTCAGTATAAAAATGGTAGAAAATACTGCATTTTGAAATTCACAGAATTCAATTTAAAATCATGCCGAAATAATCTTAATTCGATTTATATATTTTTTTAATATGATGCTTAATGAATATATTTTTCTTGAATTAGAGAAACCTGTAGGCACCTTTCATTTAATAGATCTTGACTTTAATTAAATTGACAAATCCAAGACTATCTTGTGTGATGAAATTGCCATGTATACAACTTACTGTAATAATGTAAATGGTATGTAACTATTTCGAAGAAATGCAAAAATCCTTAAAAGAAATCGTCAGTTGCCAACTAAATAGTGTTATATCTTTAAGAAATGTGTCTAAGTCAAAGATGTATGTGTTGTAGATTGTGTGTACATTTTGTGATATCTATCATGAAATGATGTGCATTCCTTTTCATAATTATTTGTTACTTATTCATATTCAAGGAGTTTTATTACAATTTCTCTATTAATTATGATCTTTTAAATTAAAAGTACATTTTTTATAAACATTTTTTAATCTGAAAGTAGCCCCAAACAGTCATTTAATAATAAAATCCGTGTAAGTGCAAAAAGGTCAAGAATATTAGCATCGGTAAATAACCTATCTCTCATTACTTAGAAGGGAAAGGTATATATTTTAATCACTTTTTGTAATCATTTGGGTATGTTCTTTATCATATTAAAGATTGAAAACATTGTGACAAAGACTTCTGAAAAATATTTACAAATGTAGGGTGGAAAATTGACTGAAAATAAATAGAGTTCATTTGCCTATAGTTTTGAAAATGTGGACTTATCTTTTATGTCAATTCAATAAAAAAGAATTTATTCTCGGGAAATATTGTTTAATACTGTTCAATTAATAAACAATAAAAACAACGATGTTTAAAGAAGTAATTTTGGGATTTTTTTGTCTTCTTTGCATGACAAGTACCCCTAAAATGACTGAAATTGTGAAGTCGCAATATGTATTTATCATTCCATGTTTAACTGGCTGCACTACATTTAATAACAAGGAAACATGTCATGTGCTTTTGACTGATTGATAAGCAAGTGCTAATTTTTCATTATGAAAAGTTTGAAAATCTTGTGACAAAGACTTCTCCGACATAGGTTCTACCTTAATGTGTCGCTTTGATAGATTTCTATAATTGATATGTATAGATGTTATCTATATATAAATAAAACTTTTATTTAAGTTTCCATTTTAGTACTTTTTATTTATTTCATTGCTCTCTGCTGTCTGAAATTCATAACAAGTAAATAATTCTGAAAAAAAAACAGATTACTGTGAAATATGCATAGATTTGGTGAATTTAAAAAAAAATGTTCATTTCATTTTTTTTTTTTTTTTTTTTGTAAATTTTTAAATCCATTTCAACTTTCCACTTACATATTTAAAACTCATTCAACTTTTAATATTAGATTGTTTTACAGAAGAGGAACAGAGATTCATTTGGGACATTTCTCCTGAATGTGTTACGTTTATTGATTAGGTCTAAAGTTTTTTAATAGTCGAAACAGTTGGTCCGTGTCCGTTAAAAAGGTTTATGTCTTTGATCAGTCATTTCTTATTAGTTAGTTTGTCAGTTGTGTGAGTTTCTGTGAGGGTTTGACTGAGGCGCTTCCCTGGGATCCTTTTCCGTGCTCTGAGTGGGTGGATATATTATAGGAGGATGGTTGGGTTCTGTGAATGGACGAGCCGGACCTAGCGACTGTCCTTCATTACCATAGACAGGGTGAGCACCATACGATCCAGTGGAGCCTGTAAAATATTAACCATTTCAAGAACATTGTTATCTTGGTCATCATGTTAATACGGTAGAATAATTTTAAAAATCTAAACCTTAGTGGTGTGAGTCGGCAATTCCTACGCCATCTGTCGAAATTTTGTTTTTGTTTTTGACCTTACAACAAAGGATAATGAGGCCAATTACTAAAACGAGTCCTGCCAAACTTCCTATTCCAATTCCAATCATTTCACCGTATGTTCTGCAAGAAAATTATCATATTCTGACGTCATCAAACATAAAAACGACATGCTCAAAGTACTAGGAAGTCCCAAAAAATATTTAAATTTTTAAATTCAATTAAAAGGCTACTTTCATTGTAGCAATGGAATACAGAAAATCTTCGCTATATTGCATTGAGTAAATACTTACATCCCTTTGCAACAGTATGCGTAGCTTCCTTTGTAACAGCAGACTTGATTACCATAGCAACGTTCCATATTATAAGTTATATTGCCGCATATTTTAGCAGAGGTGTTTACTACTGTAATAAATACACAACCATTAATTATAGGTGAAAAGAAGAGAGAGATTTGTTGGTTAGACTAGTTATACCAGGAATCTACTCCTTATGTATCTTTATACAGAACATGTATTTAGCTCTAATGTCATTTTGATTCTAGCTTGTATCAATCAGTCCAAAAACATAACTGACACTTTTTTGCCCCTTATTGGGTTTTTATCCTAACAAAAACATAATATAGTAAAATATAGTTAACCACAGAGCGTAAAGTCGGCGAGACGGGTTAATGTCTGCTTTTCTTAGGCATTTTTAAATTTATATCTAATTTCATTCACAAAAAATAGTATTGTATGGACAGACTGTATTAAGCCCTCTACTTACCTCTGAAATTTCCGAGGTTCCGTACTTCATGCAATGCTCATATAATTCACTAATTTCTCTTGATTTTATCATTCCAAGATCCATCACTGTTTGTTATCTTTTTTTTCGTGTAGCTCTTACGGCATCTGATCCACCTCTAATGTTTTGAAGGTTTGTGGTTGTTCTGCTCCTGTTTTGCATTGTTTTATGGACTTTTGATCTTGTATACTATTCTTTATCTCCATATGTTTTCATATTAACTATAGATAATTGCATTAATAAAATAAAGTAAAGAAGACAATTACATGTGGACACTTTGATCAGTTATCAAGCTCAAACGTTCATCGGAACAGTTCAAATTCGGACAACATTTCAGTTTTGACAACATTTCAGTTTTGACAACATTTCAGTTTTGACAATATTTCAGTTTTGACAATATTTCAGGTTTTTCAAAACGATAAGGTCTTGCTTTACGCGGCAAAAACTGAGAAATCAGTCAAAGAGAATGGTCTTTAAATCATTCATTAAACCCAGCATTGTTCTTTTTTTTTTTTACCAAATATCAGAGAGAAAAACGCTGAACAAGTTGATGTCACATTTAAGGGCATTGCAAAAGGCAGAAAACTGACGAACAAAACAGAAAAGGTACATGTATAAGATATTTCTATGGTAAAAATCATAAATTACCTGATACTATAAGACAGACAAACCATATTTCCCACAGAAGTATTTTTAAGGGTTTAAATGGCGCCATAAAAAAGTGGTTTTTCCGCAGAGATAAGAATGACATGAAATATGTTCGCTACCTATCAATATAAGAAATTATGAATAAAAGGGTGTCTTATGTCGTCTTGATAAAGGTTATCGATTTTCATTTTAAAAAGGAACACGACAAATATACTAGCTTATCATTGGTTGATATCCTTCTATATTTATTTTATTTACTTCGATTATATCATTTTAACATAAAACTTTAAGACAATTCAAATAAAAACTTTTCTTATTTAGGTATCAGATTTCCTCTTTTCATAAAGATATGTTTTATTTTGATATTTTTTCCCATAAGATTGCTTTTAAACCCAATTATCGGAAAGAGAGAAACAGTGTTATGTCATTGCTTTATTTAAATAATAAGATACACTACAAACATTACATTAGAGCGTCAACTCATATCGTAGATTATATGTATAGTATTTTGAATAATACAGGGGCGTAGTATCCGGGGGGGGGGGGGGCCAGGGGGGGCCGGGCCCCCCCCCCCCCCCACTTTTTTTCCCAACCTTACACACATTATAGGAAATGTTAATTCAAAGCCTGTTTGCCCCCCCCCACTAATAGAAATGTGCCGAAAATGTAGTATAAGAATTGGTACTAAAAGTAGTACACTAAAAAAAGTGTACGATTTTCAACTTGTTTTTTTCAACTTTTTCAGATAATAAAAATTTTTTTCTCTGCCTGGCCCCCCCACTTTCAAAAACGATGCTACGCCACTGTAATATAAGGAATTTCTATATATAAGGTACTGTGGCCATTGAATCTCGCAGTGACGAGTCGGCCATGGCTTTGTACAAAAATTTCTAAATATCTTCTTTGATGGTCATGTGCATATTCATTAAAGTATTTAAAATCTATTTATAACTATGCATAGTTTGTGTTTCTATGTGTTCCTCAAACCACTAAACTTAATGCAACATGACGTCATACGTCCATTAATATTGCACCGCTGTCAAAGCTTCGCCGAAAGATAGACTAAGTTTGATCTCGACGAGATTATTTTTTCCCCAAGTTAATTAGACGACATAACACTATCACAAGCTAATAAAAACGAAGTTAAATTAGAAGCAACAAAGCAAAATGAGTATAAAAAGAATTTAATTTCGGCATTCTATTCGGAGAATAAAAGGATGTGTTAAAATAAGGCCCCCTCCCCTCCCCAAAACATCCATCCACATGGGAGGATTGCTATACCTAAACTGATAAATCTTCCGCGGAGGATTAGCTATGTAAGAATACCAAGGCGCACACGCGGTGAGCATTTGGCATTAGGAGAAAATGACGAGAGATCACAAATTAAATTTCATATTTTCTTATTATGAACTATCATGTGACCATGCACTGGTTATCAACTGGACAAAGAAGTAAAACACATTTATTCATGAATTTACGTCAAGTTAGTTTTTTAGTTGAATTTTATGTTCTTAGAGAGAATTACATAGGTAAAGATTTTCCTCAACTTTTCTTTTGCAGTTATAACTTTTTGGGGGGACTTCAATGGCGGAATTCATAGGCATAGGTTTTACAATTAAATTTTACATGTAAGATTATACCACTCGGTGTTTTACTATATCATGTCAAAATTAATCTTGAAGAGTGTAAATTATACGCAAGAATATGCTATGGATCCAATTAATTTTTCAGCAGAGCAGATTACTGTAAAATAACTTTAAGTAACAGGGATTTTATCTGCCTAGTTTAAAGTCATTATAAAAAAATTACAATCATTTATCTCGTAAATACAGTCTAACGCCACATTACTTTGACTGAATATTTAAAGAACTATATGGAGATAAGGAACATTATTACAGCTCAAAAGTCCATTAAACAATACAAAATACCCGTAGAAGCAGAGCCTACCGGGGCTTTCAAAGCATCAGAGGTGGGATCAGGTACCATGTTGGGATGAGCATCCCCTGCAGACCTATCACACATGCCGGGTGCTTCTTGTCATGATCCGGAAATAACAGAAAAATTCGTCGTCAATTAAGAGTGTAAATGATGGCCTAAGTATTGTAGTATCAGAAACGTCAGTTAGTACGAGGGCCGTTCAAAAATTACGCGGACTGTGCTATTATTTACTCTTACAGACGTCATATAGATATGAAATTTCACAGAAATATGTATCTTAAAGATTCCAATAAATTTTGGGAAAAATTTCTGTATTTTAAAAAAATTCTACTAAAATTATCGATATGTTGATATCGCTGATGGAGAGGTACGGCGCACAACAAAAAATTTTAAGTAAAAGCACGCGGAATCAAAAATTTAACTCATTGATTTTCTAAAATTCGCGATATTTTTCAACAATTTTCTCAAATGTACCTTTAAATTGTTCTATTATTGTGTATTTAGATTTCTGACGTAATATTTGAAGTACTAACAGAAATATAGTGATTTTTCTCTGATGCGATTCCCGTGAAAACGACTGTGAAAATGACGTCTCCTGAATTGACGGCGCACCGCACTCTTGTTAAATTATGTGTAATGCTCGAGATATCGGCAACATAGATTCAAAATATGCATATTAAAACATGTAGTAAACTAGGCTATTCGTGACATTCGTCCACAAATAGCAAATTGAAATTTCAGACCGTTAGATCTCTGTGAAAAGGCTATATGGGAGGACGGGAAGAAGATTATAGACGAAAAGTTAACTCCATCCGGACTGTAAAGAACGTGATTGAGAGCCACCAGTATCACGCTATATCTCATCCTGTAGTTTTTGGTTTTAAAACAAATAAAGAATATTCTTTACTTGTTTAATAGATTTTAAGCTTGACAAGAAATGGTGTTTGGATGTTGAGTAGATAAGGTAACTCAAACTATACAGGTACTCTTGGGAAAATGTTGAGAAAATGAAAGCTCAATCACATATTTTTTATAATGCCTGTGACGTCGAAGATTTTGCTGCGCCGTGACTTAATGATATATCCTGAAAAATCACTCAAAATTGATACCAATTTACAACATTTTGATATGAAATTTTGAAGACCATATAAGTAAAGATTCTTTTATATTATGTGTGAAATTTTGCCCGATTATGTCGTCAAATATTTTTTCTGTGCAACAAGTCCGCGTAATTTTTGAACGGCCCTCGTATTTGACTCGATGATAAATTGTATTTGCTGACAAGGTAATTGTATCGACCATAAAACTTACGAAATGTTTGTTAAATTTGTCAATAATTTACCTCGTTGTAGAAATTGTACATACGTAGAGAATGCTCTTGCGTATCGAATCAGCTAAAAGATATATATTAGTATATTACTGCACAAGTAAATAAATATATATTATAAAATCATTGTTCTAATTTTTCCTGAAGACTATTTTTCTACCTTATCATAAGGGTCCAAGGCTGGTATAACTGGTCAACACTTACTCCTCCTACGCATTTCATATCACAATATTTCCATTTCTATTCGTTCTCTCTGTGTTAGGTCATTGAAAGTTAGTAAAGTTGATTGTTTAATCATTTTTCCGGAATGTTAATTTTCCAAGAAATGGGTCAGGATCTAAGAAGGCCTTACATGCATGTACATCTAGCGCGGCTGTCTTTGTGTTTGACGTCAGTGGGCGGGGACTATTGAAATTGACGTGAAAGGCCTCGTGTAATTTTAATCTCTTAGTCTACATTTTTAAGATATTTATTAAACACACAATTTTATTTCACAATTAAATTGAAATATAAGATATCACTGTCTACTTAGTAGAGTATGCCAGTAACATCAACGATAGTTGGAAACTTAGGATGATTAATGGATGACGGGCTTTGTCCTTTATGCAAATTATCCCGTTTCCAATTATCGTTGACGCCCCGGCATATTCTACTATCTAGACAGTGATTCCTTTAAAAGTGCATTATGCTCAGATCAATATTTTGTATTGGTTTGATTAATTTTGAGATTTGGTTTCTGTCACTGAATTTTACCTTGTTTATTATAATAGTTTCATGAACTGGTATGTTAATCTTATTATCATTAAAAATTATGCTGTTGATATATGAAATAATTACCTGTAATAAACAAAAAACAAAGCATAAAAGTCAAAAGTAACAAATATATACATATGCACATTAGTGTCCAATGTGTATTACATTGCAGTATCTATTGATTTGTTATTAGTTGTAACTCATTTGTAACTTAACATATAATTTATAATTAAGAATCACTCAAACTTAGATTAATTATACAGGTAAAAGCAAAATGGTTTTAGGAATGTCCAAGAGGAACTTTAGCTTAAACTGTATGAAATATTCCAATTTCAAAGAAAAATTAAACAGAAAATCTACTAAAACTCACTGAAATAGTATTCTTATTCATTTTATAAGTACCAGAATTGTAGATGATTCCTTCTCTCTTCTACTACTGACATGTAAGTGTAGTTAGCTTTATATTAATACAAGTAAATAGAGATGTGATTCTAGTTAACGGGTGCATGTACAGTGTATGTTTACATTATATACTACAAAATAGACGTACATAAATTAAAGCAATAGGACTGCAACTTTTATGCTGGAAACATTTTGTTGCAAAATTGCCATTTAATACTACTTCTAGAAAGGAAAAATGTTTGTAAACATTTGTTGTTCGTAATTTCAATTGAGGAACTAATTTTAAGCTTTGACTGAAGTATAGAATTTAATTATTGTCATCCTGTGCAAAAAGGATTTCTTATATGATACTATATATTCGATTTTAAAGAAGTCTTTCTTCTGAAACAATTTAAAACTTTTTGAGTCTGATTGATTATCAAGGTTTCAATTATATACAAAGTTATCAAAATAACATATTTTAACAGCAAAATAAAACACTCAAATATGCAGCTCATTAAAAGGCAGATTAATAACAACACAAAGAAAATAACAATCCCGATATTCCATCTCCCTCTTTTATGCAAGGGCATACTTCAAACTCTTTAATATTTACAACGTTATAAATTATATCACAGACATTCGTGTAATAGCACCAAAGCTTTGGCTTGGAATCAATACTTTTGTGGATAAGAGTCGGTGCCTGGCTGGGTATAGGACGGAGGGGGAGGAGGTGGGTACTGTGACGGTCCCGCGGGGGGATAGGCCGGTCCAGGACCTGAGGGATAGGCTGGATAAGTAGATTGGACGTATCCTGGGGGCTGAATAGGACCACCTGAATAACCTGAATAAAAAATAACATTTAAATATAAGTTCTGAATGTTGAATTTTATTGGGTTAGTTAACATTGAAGTTAACTTAATTAATGTGTATTGATAATTTTTTGTCAAGTTATAGTCCATCTGTACATTGAAATACTACACAATCGCATTGTAAAGTATTTATTTTATCAATTCCATTATCTTAAAACGATTAGCTACAATATTGTTTTTTTTTATTGCACTCATAGAATACAGTATTCTTTGACAACAAAAATAACCATCTATGCACCTGTAAACAGTTTCTGATATGATACTGAACGGTTAAACTAAGACCTATGAAAGGATTCAGATGTGATATAATACGGTTATCTATTTACCTGTACAAGGACTCTGATGTGATATAACACGGTTATCTATTTACCTGTACAAGGACTCTGATGTGATATTACACGGTTATCTATTTACCTGTATAAGGACTCTGATGTGATATTACACGGTTATCTATTTATCTGTATAAGGACTCTGATGTGATATTACACTGTTGTCTGTTTACCTGTATAAGGTCTCTGATGTGATATTACACTGTTGTCTGTTTACCTGTATAAGGACTCTGATGTGATATTACACTGTTGTCTGTTTACCTGTATAAGGACTCTGATGTGATATTACACGGTTATCTATTTACCTGTATAAGGACTCTGGTGTGATATAACACGGTTATCTATTTACCTGTATAAGGACTCTGATGTGATATTACACTGTTGTCTGTTTACCTGTATAAGGACTCTGGTGTTATATAACACGGTTATCTATTTAACTGTATAAGGACTCTGATGTGATATAACACGGTTATCTATTTACCTGTATAAGGACTCTGCTGTGATATTACACTGTTATTTGTTTACCTGTATAAGGACTCTGATGTGATATTACACGGTTATCTATTTACCTGTATAAGGACTCTGATGTGATATTACACTGTTGTCTGTTTACCTGTATAAGGACTCTGATGTGATATTACACGGTTATCTATTTATCCGTATAAGGACTCTGATGTGATATTACACTGTTGTCTGTTTACCTGTATAAGGACTCTGATGTGATATAACACGGTTATCTATTTACCTGTATTAGGACTCTGATGTGATATAACACGGTTATCTATTTAACTGTATAAGGACTCTAATGTGATATTACACGGTTATCTATTTACCTGTATAAGTACTCTGATGTGATATTACAAGGTTATCTATTTACCTGTATAAGGACTCTGATGTGATATTACAAGGTTATCTATTTACCTGTATAAGGACTCTAATGTGATATCACACTGTTGTCTGTTTACCTGTATAAGGACTCTGATGTGATATTACACGGTTATCTATTTACCTGTTATCTATTATCTATTTATCTGTATAAGGACTCTGATGTGATGCAACACGGTTATCTATTTACCTGTATAAGGACTCTGATGTGATATTACACGGTTATCTATTTACCTGTATAAGGACTCTGATGTGATACATGTATGACACGGTTATCTATTTACCTGTATAAGTACTCTGATGTGATATTACAAGGTTATCTATCTACCTGTATAAGTACTCTGATGTGACATTACACGGTTATCTATTTACCTGTATAAGGACTCTGATGTGATATTACACTGTTATTTGTTTACCTGTATAAGGACTCTGATGTGATATAACACGGTTATCTATTTATCTGTATACAGACTCTGATGTGATATTACACGGTTATCTATTTACCTGTATAAGGACTCTGATGTGATATTACACGGTTATCTATTTACCTGTATAAGGACTCTGATGTGATATTACACGGTTATCTATTTACCTGTATAAGGACTCTGATGTGATATTACACGGTTATCTATTTACCTGTATAAAGACTCTGGTGTGATATTACACGGTTATCTATTTACCTGTATAAGGACTCTAGTGTGATATAACAAGGTTATCTATTTACCTGTATAAGTACTCTGATGTGATATTACACGGTTATCTATTTACCTGTATAAGGACTCTGATGTGATATTACACTGTTGTCTGTTTACCTGTATAAGGACTCTGATGTGATATTACACTGTTGTCTGTTTACCTGTATAAGGACTCTGATGTGATATTACACGGTTATCTATTTACCTGTATAAGGACTCTGATGTGATATTACACGGTTATCTATTTACCTGTATAAGGACTCTGATGTGATATTACACTGTTATTTGTTTACCTGTATAAGGACTCTGATGTGATATTACACGGTTATCTATTTACCTGTATAAGGACTCTGATGTGATATAACACGGTTATCTATTTACCTGTATAAGTACTCTGATGTGATATTACACGGTTATCTATTTACCTGTATAAGGACTCTGATGTGATATAACACGGTTATCTATTTACCTGTATAAGGACTCTGATGTGATATTACACTTATCTATTTACCTGTATAAGGACTCTGATGTGATATTACCTGTGTCTGATGTGATATTACACTGTTATCTATTTACCTGTATAAGGACTCTGATGTGATATTACACTGTTATTTGTTTACCTGTATAAGGACTCTGATGTGATATTACACGGTTATCTATTTACCTGTATAAGGACTCTGATGTGATATAACACGGTTATCTATTTACCTGTATAAGTACTCTGATGTGATATTACACGGTTATCTATTTACCTGTATAAGGACTCTGATGTGATATTACACTGTTGTCTGTTTACCTGTATAAGGACTCTGATGTGATATTACACGGTTATCTATTTACCTGTATAAGTACTCTGATGTGATATAACACGGTTATCTATTTACCTGTATAAGTACTCTGATGTGATATTACACGGTTATCTATTTACCTGTATAAGGACTCTGATGTGATATTACAAGGTTATCTATTTACCTGTATAAGTACTCTGATGTGATATTACACGGTTATCTATTTAACTGTATAAGGACTCTGATGTGATATTACACTGTTGTCTGTTTACCTGTATAAGGACTCTGATGTGATATTACACGGTTATCTATTTACCTGTATAAGGACTCTGATGTGATATTACACGGTTATCTATTTATCTGTATAAGGACTCTGATGTGATGTAACACGGTTATCTATTTACCTGTATAAGGACTCTGATGTGATGTAACACGGTTATCTATTTACCTGTATAAAGACTCTGATGTGATATTACACGGATATCTGTTTACCTGTATAAGGACTCTGATGTGATATTACACGGTTATCTATTTACCTGTATAAGGACTCTGATGTGATATTACACTGTTATTTGTTTACCTGTATAAGGACTCTAATGTGATATTACACGGTTATCTATTTACCTGTATAAGGATTCTGATGTGATATAACACGGTTATCTATTTACCTGTATAAGGACTCTGATGTGATGTAACACGGTTATCTATTTACCTGTATAAGGACTCTGATGTGATATTACTCGGTTATCTGTTTACCTGTATAAGGACTCTGATGTGGTATTACACGGTTATCAATTTATCTGTATAAGGACTCTGATGTGATATTACACGGTTATCTATTTACCTGTACATAAGGATTCTGATGTGATATTACACTGTTGTCTGTTTACCTGTATAAGGACTCTGATGTGATATTACACTGTTGTCTGTTTACCTGTATAAGGACTCTGATGTGATATTACACTGTTATTTGTTTACCTGTATAAGGACTCTGATGTGATATTACACGGTTATCTATTTATCTGTATACAGACTCTGATGTGATATTACACGGTTATCTGTTTACCTGTATAAGGACTCTGATGTGATGTAACACGGTTATCTATTTACCTGTATAAGGACTCTGGTGTGATGAGTTCACAACAGTTACGTTATTTGAGCCGTCATTAGGATAAACAACCCGTCCCGCCGTGCCTCTGTTTTTGTTCATGATGTTACAGCAAACAACGACTAGGGCGATCAAGACTGCAAAACCAATCAAACAGCCTATCACCACCCCTGCTATTGCTCCACCAGATCTACAAGCATGATTATAATAAGGCGATTCAAAGTTTTCATGCCAACGTAATAAAAAAATTGGGATATGTAGTTTTTGCCCAAACCGTCCCTCTGTCTGTCTGTCTGTCTGTCTAGCTGTCAGTTTGATTATTTGTCTGCTTTTCCGCAAAAACACTAGTATTAACTCTGGTCATAACTTTGAGTGTGAGGCTATTGCTTTTATATTTCACAGGTTTAATCCTTATTATTAAACCTTTTTGGGCCACCACCAATTTGACCTCTTTACTTTGGAGTTTGGCTTTTACATAAAATTATCTCACTTTCACCTTTCTCATAACTTTTGAACGGTTGGTGCTAGTGCTTTTATATTTCACATGTGTATTCATTGTGACATAAACCTTTTCGTGAATATCAAAATTTTTTATCTTCACCTTAAAAATTGACCAACTTTTTACAAACTTTAATCCTGGCTATAACTTTTGATCAAGTAGAACTATTATAATATGTTTTCATACCTCACATGTTTACATGTATTCTCTGTGACAGGATCTACCTTTTGGTACCAAAAATTTTGACTATATTTGAATTAACCTTGACCTTTATAGTTTGACTTGAATTTTAGAAAATGCAACCCCCGCAGTAAGCTGTCAGTGTCTCACATACTTATCTTGTTTTTTATCTCAATATATCAGTAGTTTTTTCGAATTTAGGATAGAAAGGAAGAAAACTTGCACATGCTTGTGAAACAAAAGTTTGTGCCACCGTATGGCAGCTTATAGTGATGTTGATGTTACTGAAATGCAAGTCAAGGTCTAAAGGTCAAAATTGTTGGTATCCAAAAAGATATAGGACTTGTCAAAAGAAATTAGTGTTAGCTCTATTATGGCCAAGGTTAAAGTTTTTTGTGGGTTAGAATCTAAGGTCATGGTCAAAAGGCAAAAAAAATTATGTCTCTTAGTGAGTGGTGTGTTACAACGCACTTTGAAAAATTACGCATTTTGAAAAAAAATTTCAAAGTGCGTTAAATTTGGGACCAAATCAACGCACTTTAAAAAATAAAATTTCTTTTCAAAGTGCGTTAATATCGACCATATTAACGCACTTTGAAAAAAATGTGTATGGTTGATATTCTTGCAAATCTTAGGTATGATAATTGAACCTGTTGGATAAACTTTCGGTGAAAAGGTCATTTCAGAATGTGAAAGTGAGCTATTTTATTTTCCATACTTTGATAATTCTTTCTCTCTTAAATGTCTTCTCATAGGCGTCGGAACTGGGGGGGGAGGGGGGGGCACATTATATAGCTATAGGCATTGAAAATTGGGGTTTACCTTTTTTGTTGGTTTAGACCCCCCACTTTCAATAAGCCCCCTACTTTCAATTTGCTTCTGACGCCTACGTTTTATTTTACTTAATTTCTTCCAGTTTGCATACATTTTATGTAAACTAAAATTTATCGAAAGTTTTCAACGTCATATACTAGTTCTGCAAATACATTTGGGTGTAGCGTAGGCATCGGTAACGGGAGGGGGGCTTAGGCACACAGATGTTTTACAAAGATGTAGTTACATAATATAGCTAGACATTGAAAATTTGGGCTTACCTTCGGGGGGCGGGGGAGGGGGGCACGTTAAATTTGCTACCCACGGCTATCTATAAAAAAAAAGGTTGGGCTGAGAGATCTACTCGTCTTCTCCTTGTTCTCATTAAGGTTAAATCAATGCATGTAAATTAAAAAGTTTTTCGAAAGATATAGTTATAACAATTTAATTCTATTAATCACTAAAATCGAAGTATAGAATTTTTGTTTAATACATTTTTTTTTTTCAGGTAAAAAATGTTGACGTACACTCTTAACGCACTTTGAAAAAATTTTTCTAAGTGCGTCGAGTGTGTCCCAAATTTAACGCACTTTGAAAAAAATTTTCAAAGTGCGTAATTTTTTCAAAGTGCGTTCCCACCACTGTGTCACCATAAATTCACGTGAAAGTCATGGCCAAGTAAAAAAAGTTAGGAATTTTTGTAAAAGTTGGTCAAACTCCATAGACAAGGTCAAAGATGTCAAATTAAGCGGTACCCCTAAGAACTGTCTACATCTGCGAAATATGAAAGTCATACTTTATTCACACAAAACTTGTAGGCAGGTTAAAGTTGTTGGGGACAGACAGACAATTTAAGCGAACGGATCGGACAGGGGAAAAACTCTAAGTGGCATAAAAACTTATAACGGCCAGATTAACAATAGGAATATTTTAATCAATCAAGTCATTTTAACTTTTACTCTATTATTTTTTTTTTTTTGTAAATAAGATGATAAGTAACGTACAGCGAATAACCGCAGCAGTAACGGTAGGAGTAGTATCCACAGCACCGTGTCTGTCCGCGATAACAGTACTCCCTGGTATTATAGCCCAGATAATAACTAGTACAAAAGTACGCAGCATCCACGGGAAAAACTGAAATGTAAAATATGCTAAATATTTAAACACTGTCAAAGACTCTCGATCTCTTGTAGGGAAAGTAATAACTTTCACAACAGTACGCAGTGTCCACAGGAAGAACTGAAACGTAAAATATGCTGTGAATTGAAACACCCTCAAAGACCGAGTCCCAAGTTCATGAAGCAGCATTAGACTAAAAAAAAAATAGTCATTGATAATATGAATATTTATTATATACTGATTCTTAAAATTCTTAATTACAGTATGGAATTGAAATGTTTTTTCGATAGTAAGATACTTTAGTCATAATTCTATATAAATTCCATAAATCATGAATGTACGAGTAGTACTCGATTTTACACTTGCGTCTTGTATGTAAATAGCCTTGTGCAAGTAAACTTTTTATAAAATATCTGAACATCGTACCTGAAAGGATTAAAAATAAAAACATTGCAGACAATCCGGGACACAAACATATCACATCCATTTTTGGTAAAATTCAATTTCAAGCAACAAAAGTGTAAACTAGCAGGTGTATACTTTTAGTTAAAGTAACTACGTTGGTCATCCGATAAGAAACACAGGTAGCACTTTATTTATTTGATCAATATATTGAGGGTCTGTGTAAGTTTTTAAATTCAATCTATCTGATTTATTACAATGCACGTAGGTGACACAGGAATGTAAGGTACTTTTTAATCTTGGTCTCCAAGTTTTTAAGTGGTGCACAGATATGTATCATGGTTCTCTGTAGCTGCAATAATGTAGCCCTCTCCGATTTTTTTTAATCTGATGTTTTCTGGAGAGGGCTACAATTCCATCGCATCTCCGTAATGGTGCAAATATTTTTTTTTAATAGGAGCGACTGCAGGCAAAATAAATTATTTTTACATTCAACTTACTTCTAATAAGACGAATTTTTTATTCACTGTCAACAGTAGACCCCGTTAAATGCGAAAAACTTGTAAAATAACTCTGCATGTTTCCTGGTAGTTTACTTCAGCAGCCATGACAGTTCACGCGTGACGTAATGAGACTTTCGCTTGAAATTTAGAACAACTGAATAAAGCAATTATCGGTGTTTATAAATGTATGTGCTGAATTTCATCACAAAAACATAGGTATATAAAACCATTTTAAGTGTTATTTTTATGCAAGCAGCGATATTTATGTTTAAAATAAGGGAATTCCAAATAGATCCGCTCCTATAGAACCTAAATTCTCATTGGCTGTCCCAAAATACAATCTATCAAGGTCAGTAAACATGTGAATTGGCGGATAAATTCGAGTTGTGATGTTGACATACACGAAAAATAAGCGATATAGGGATCGTTCTGTATATTTTTGCATTGGTTTATGTCTTGGATGACTACTTATTTGGAGTCAAGGTAAGAAATCTTAATAAAATAGCCATTTACTGATAATTTGAGCCGAAATCCGTGCGGGAGCAAATCACTCCCGCAGCTGCACCATTATGGAGATCCTAAGGAGTTGTAGCCCTCTCCCAAAAAAAAAAAAAAAAAAAAAAAAAAAAAGGGAGAGGGCTACATTATTGCAGCTAGGTTCTCTGTTGTCTTGCATTCACAGTTTTGATGCATATCACATTGTATTAACGGACATGTAATTAGTGAATTTTAAAAATAGATAAACAATCAGGTTTATTTTTCTGAATCCATTCTTTAATAATTTTTTACCCTTTAGTTCATGATAAAATCGCAAGGTATCTGACCACAACTTCGAATTATATGCAGAACAATATTGAGACTTCACAGAATTGCGTAAAAATTATTATGTTCGGGATCTGAATTCAGGTAAATCATAACCACGAAAAACAACAACATTGAACAATGTCTGCGCCCATCTGAAAAATGTAAAACACGTGTATCTTTCGAACCTCTGTAGGAATGGAAGGGTTCCCATCAAAACGGTATATCCATATATTTTCTATTGAATAAGTTTAGTATTGATTTCTGAAAAAAAGACAGTACTGGAATATATATGCATGTGAAATAGAATCCTGTTGCCTGATGCACATACAAGTATATATTTATTTAAACCTGTGTACCACTTTTCCATTTTTGATAAATTAATCACTTTATTGATGGGAAAAAAGTTGTCACACAGTAATTTTATTATTTAGAGTAGTTGAATTTATGAACACTTGATAAAATAATTACTACATACCAAGTCTTTTTTATTTGTGTTGACCCGATAAAAATTGAATGTGAGTTGTCTCTCTTTTGCCAGTCTATGATATTCTGAGAACATTTTTTTTTGTACAATTTGCAACAAATGTGGTATGTGTGTTTTGCACTGGAGATAGAAGCTCTGGTGTTTAAGAGGAGTACAAAATATTTATTTTTAAATGAGGAGCCATGAATAAGGATTGAGAGAAGGTTCTTGGACCCACCAATGATAATTAAATTTGTGAACAGGACCTTAATGAAGGTAGTCCGATCCTCAGGTTTATAAAATTAGCAGTTCAGTAATCAAAAATACTCATAAATGTATCTCTGAATCCACAAAGTTAAGTAAATTTATTCACAGTATTTCTTTAAAGTTAAAGAATAAAGTTAATCATATTACATGTATATAGGGAAAATTGTCAAATCTCCAATATTTTCGCAGAAAAACCGAATTGGAATAACAGCAATGCATTTTCTAATTGCAAATTGATCAACAAATATATTTTAGGTTAAAAAACGATAGGTATCCAGGCATTTAGAGAAAGTGTCATGATTTTTATACTTATTTAGTATTTATTGTCTTCTATTTCCGTCATGTATTCTATAATACAGAGTGTAAAAGGCTTTTGCTATTATTGCAAGACACCACAAATCACTTCTTATTTCATATCATGCTAATAAGCATTGGTATCCAAGCCTGGATTCATAGAAATTTTATTTCTCTAAAACTGTATTATCATTTTTCCCTTTTATAGGGTACAAATGTCAACTTTTATAAGACCTTTTGTAAGACTTCTAATAACCTTGAATCTGATAAAGATGAATAAAATGAAAATTGTTGCATGAAAAAAATTCATTATCAAGCTTCATTTTGATGCATTTCAAATTAATTATTAATTTTTGGAGTTATCCTTCCTTGCTGAGGATCGGATATCCTTACCTTACGGTGAAAATTTGAAAATTTAAATTCATTACTACATAAAAATATACATAAATAATTTTTTTTTAAAATGAATAAGAATATATTTTTTTAAATTAAAAAGAATAGATTAGAATTTATTACCAAATCAGGGCCCAATAGGCATAAACCACAGGCACCTGGCGTAACTTATTTTTCTTTTAATTAAAAAAAATATACCCATACCTGTATTATCAGGTATGGGTATATTTTTTTTATTAAAAGAAAAATAAGTAACGTCAGATGCCTGTGGCATAAACATAAAAAAAATCTTACAAATGTTTGGATGTCGTCCGTTCTATAACAGCACCTTGGCGTGTCGACGTTTATCGGTTACATAGAATGTAATTATTTTCTGATGAAAAAACTATTTCTAGATTTGACTGAGTTTTAAAACTTTAAATATTCATATTATATATATATATATAGGAATTTACTTTCAGGTTTTCACCTAGTCCAAGTGCATGACAAGAGTTAAGAGGAAAGTTTAGAAATTGTTTTAAAATATTAAGAACTTGTGTCCAATCCTTTTGTTGTAACATCAAAACAATAAAATATGTTCAAACCAAACCATGGAAAAGGGCTTTAGCAGTCATTTCCACAGCGAATTCTGTCCATATTTTTGCATGATGAGAACTGAACCTTGTTATTAATTACTTTGGTTTATTATATGTACACGTATTTTTTAAAATCTTTATAACATTTATTAAAAAAAATAACGATGTAAATAAAGTTTTGTTAAAGTTAAGGTTCGATCAAGACGTCAATTTTCTCACCTAAGCAGATAAAAAGAAAGTCATGTATTATATAAAATAGTAACACTTAATCCAGGGGGAATTTACATAATCACGAAAAAAGATAATTCTTCAGCCCCCTACCAGGCTTCACTCAGCAAGCTTGTAGAACTTAGCTAATAATCTAGTTCTCTTTCGTCAGTAAGCTTCGCCTGTAGATGGAGTACTTTCGACATGTATATAAATTGACTGGAAAGCAATATCACAGTGGCAATATAGTTATTAATGACTGCATGTCACAACAATATTAAAATAAGAGGAAGAAGCGCGAGAGAAAGTATTGCATTTTAGAAAATAGACAAGAGCAATTTGTAAACTAGACAATCTTGCGTGAGATGGGGAGTAGCCGAAATCAAAGGTTAAATCAAAATATAGAGAACTGGTTAAATTCAGGAAAAAATGCGTGCATCTCGCCTACAGATCGCTGTATGTTATTGACAGTATATCAATTAACAAACGTCAATTAGAAGAAGCGAATTAATGTTGAGTCACTACTCCGCTGTAGCTATACCATGCACACATTTTTGGGTACACATTGTTCTCGCAAAAAGAGATTGCTTTTCTTAAGTCATATTTGAGAAGACAATAATAAACAAAGTTTGAAAAATTTCCCCATTCACTGACCGTTGGAACAGGTTAAATTTTTTTGTGTTTCTGTGTGTGATCCGAATACGCAGCTGATGTTTGGGAGATCTAAATTTACTAATCTGTAACTCGTGTCAGATGCATAAAAAAGTTTGTTTTCTTTGACGTTTAACACGTTTTACGGATGTTCTTGATCCTCGAAAGCTGGATAACCACAATTCGTAAACAAACGAATTCAAAACTTAAGAATAGTCAAGGAGATTTGATCACTGAGAAGAAAATCTATTCACACGAGAAGTTAAAGGGAATTAAATGGATCCTTACCTTTCATTGTGACTATGGATTTGTTAATATCAATTTATAAATATTTTAGGAAAAAGTTTGATGACAATGTCGACGACTTGAAGAATGTTACAGATACCGAGGATCAAACGAATACGACGGACAATCAAGATAAGGAATATTTCCAGTAAGTATGAGAGAGAAAGAGCAGGGGGTTGAGAGGGAGAGGGGTGGGGAGAGAGGTGGGGGTGGAGAGAGAGAGGGGAGGGGAGAAGGAGAGAAATATAGCACGTTTTTAAACTGCCTGAATGTATGGTAAAATTCAAAAAAGGAACAGAAAAAAATGTACAGGTGTGGAAGAAAGATTATCAATTTTAAACATTAAAAAAGTTAGATTGATAGATGGGCGGACATGAGTCAAAATCAGTCTTATTAAATGTACATGTTATGTGAAAACACAGATCAAAATCAAAATCAACATAATTCAATATAGCACTATTTAAAGGAATAGAAAATTTTGATGTTTAAAAACATTTCTTCAGTAAAGATGAGAGAGAGAAAGGGAGAGAGGGAGAGAGAAAGAAGGGAGAGATATGTATAAATAATTCATCTTGAATCCATTATGTCCATTAAAAACACATAACCACTACAATTCTAATGGATATAAAATACCTGATTGGGTAGAAGTAGCGGCAGCGAAGCGTCCAAGCGCTTATTTTAGAAAATTGACCTCCATCAGCATATGTCTCAGAACATGTATTCGAATTCGAATATATTGGTTGCTCCTGTTTCAGATAGAACATGAAAATCTCATAAACCATATTTTATTGGGGACGGTACGACTGACGTTTACAATGGCATTGGGATAATTATTTTATAGAAGGGAATTAATTTGGTTTACCCCACAAGATACTTTAATTTGTTCTGAATTAACTGGGTCGGTTCGCCTCGGTATATAAGATTGCTTAATTAATTAAGATAAATATGAGTACGAGACAGGCCATTAGATGTATTTATTCTGACTGAAAAAAAAGTGTTTTTTTTTTTTTTTTTTTTTTTGTCAGTCATCTGATTAAAGCTATCTAAAGGTATGTGAGTACGGATATAATGCTTTATTTAGAGAATGTCACGTGATCAGAACGTCAAGTTACAAGATTGGTTTAGAATTTCTAACGACATAATAAAACAAGAGGCCCATGGGCCTTACAGGTCACCTGAGTATCATCTACATGTAGCAACTTTCCAACAATTGAATCACAATTTTGAAAGAGGTACCAATGCTTACGCTTCTAAAACCGCCATTGGAACTTGCATGTACGTGAAAGCGTCAGTTAAGCCTTGATAAGTCATGTTGGTCCATTCAAGTGTTTTCATCTCCTCATGCATAAGGTTTTTTTTTTTTTTTTTTTTTTTTTTTTTTGCTTTTGTTGTTTTTGTTTTCTTAATCTGCTTCATGTATACAAAAATTAAAAATTAGCTGCAGAAATGTAGCTCTCTGCTTGAGAAATATCGGACAGATAAAGCAGAGAGCTACAAGCATTGTAAAAACTACGCCACCGCTTTTTTGTCGATAGATTGTTGAAAGGTTTGACCTAAAATCTACCTGAGATATTGTCAATCAACAACGCAACCACCGATCAAATATCGACCTCGGATTGAATATACTTCTGTGTACAATCAGAATGGTTCTTTTTTATAATTTAGCATTTGACAAACGAAAATATGAATCCTGGGAGTTGGTTGAGGCCAAAATATGTAATCACTTTTTTTTGAAAAGCATATATAGGTTAATTCCGGAAAGTTAGGGAAATTCTAAAAAAAATTTGATGCAACTTTCACAGAATCTTTATTACATGCCATTATTTTAAAAATATTTTGGACAGGAAAACATGCTTTTTCATTATAACCATATGGGAGGCATCGCTCACAGTACCTCTAGTTTTTCATGGGGAAAGTTAGGGAAATTTAAAAAAAAATGCCATTGAAAAATAGGAGGGCCATATTTCATCGGACGATTGTTGAAGCTGATATGCCTCTTGTTGTTTTGTTGTTGATGCTGATTTTTTGAGTTTTACACTTGAAGCGTTTAAATCTACAGACAACTCCACTCGGGGGAATGTAATGTCTGAGTATAGGATAATTGATGATCAGCGTTCTCCATTGTAGGTGTATACCCCCGTCTTGTTCGTTATACAGAACAACAGGTTATAATCCAATAAAGGGTTCAGCAGAACCTCCACACTTTAATTTATATCATGTATTGATGATAACAGAACTATCTGCTCGGATCTGAATCAGATGCAGATTGCATTCACGTGTAACGAGTAACAGGGAGTGATGTCGATAAGACCTCCGAACTAAGGAATTAAGACTCATCTGAACTCCCAAGCTGTTGTTTGATATTCTACTTCAGCTCGATATCAAAAATTATTATGTATGTGTATAAAGAAAGAAAACTGACACATATTCCTATATCTTTAAAATAATGTATATGAGAGTTTAAAAAAAGGAAAAGAAGAAACAAAACAAACAATTCAAACAAAAGGCCCATGGGTCACATCCCTCACCTGAGCACTGTGGCTAGGAAAATAAGCAAAAATACGTTTAGTATTGAAAAGCTTAAAGGTATTTAACTATATAAGTGGTACCGACCTTCCCCTGAAAGGGAGTTGGGGGGGGGGGTATGATTTGAACAAAATTGAATCTACACTAACTAATGATGCTTATATATTTTTAACTAACTGTGACTTTTCTCCCGACAAGTTTGAACTTTCATTGTGGCCCCACTCTGCCCCCGGGGTCATAATTTGAACAAACGTGAATTTACACCAGGATACTTTCAAATAAATATGACCAATCATTGCTTTGCTGCTTTTGAGAATTAGATGATTTTTAAAGATTTTTCTTATATATTCCTATGTAAAACTGGTCGTCCATAAAGCCACAGCCTACCTCGAGGGGTCAGAATTAGAACAAACTTGAATTTACACCACATGAGGATGCTTCCCTATAAATATGACCAATCGTTGCCTTGCTGTCCTTGAGAAGCTTTTATGAAGATATTTCTGTATGTTCCTATGTGGAACTTTGATAGTTTATTTCGGCTCCATCCTACCCCTTTGGGTCATGATTTGAACAAACTTGAATCTGCAGCACATGAGGATGCTTCCATATAAATATGACCAATAATAGCTTTGCTGTTCTTGAGAAGATTTTTTTGAAGATTTTTCCTATATTTTTCTATGTAGAACTTTGATCGCGGCCGTTGTGGCCCACCCTACTCCCGGCGGTCATAATTTGACTAAATTTGAATCTTCACCACCTGAGGGTGCTTCCATATAACCAATAATAGCTTTGCTATTCCTGAGAAGATTTTTCTATATATGCCTATATAAAAGTTTGATCGGCCATTGTTGCCCACCCTACTCCCGTGGGTCATGATTTGAAAAATAAAACTGAATCTAGACTACCTGACAATGATTCCACATGAGTTTCATCTTTTCTGGTCCATTGGTTCCTGAGACGAAGATTTTTTCAATAATGTCATTTATTTTTGGCTATTTCGTAATTATCTCCCCTTGGAGGAGATTATCGCCCTTCATTTGAACAAACTTGAATTCCTTTAACCCAAGGATACTCTGAACCAAGTTTAGTTGAAATTGGCCAAGTAGTTCTGGAGAAAATGAAAATGTGAAAAATTTACGACGACAAAGACGACGACGACAGCCTTCGGCTGTGGTGAGCTAAAAATAAAAAGGGGAAAAACAAGGGATTCAATTCAAATGAACTTTTTGAATATCACTTTACAGAAGTAGAACTTAGTTTAACAAAACAATACTGAATTCCTATGATAATAGATTGTTTTCTTCTTTCTAGAAGTTATGCTGATGTCGGAATCCACGAGGAAATGCTGAATGATACAGTGAGGACAAACGCTTACAGGTCTCTGATTAATGAGCTCAATCAGTAATCATTCTACATGTATATTGAAGGCATATCATATTGCACATTGTATTATATTAAACCAGGCTTCATTTATGTTCTTTTGTTTACGATGTTATAAGCAATTGAGATCTCAAATAAGATTACTAAGACTGAAAAGTGGATTTTCATATAAAGAAAGAGAATGAAGGTCAGCCATTTTGAATTGAATTGGATACTTCATATATAATCATAATAGAATTTGAAGTTATTAATCTAATTGATAACATAAAAAGAGCCTAAGCTTTCATAAATCTGCCAATAAAGATTCGTTTTTCAAACACTAAATGTCATGATTTAATACAAGCAATAAAGCATAAGATGTCTGGGATCAGGAAGACAAAGGGAGATAATTAGTTATTATTGCCAGCACGTGTCCTTAATTTGTTTACACAGACCTGGTAAGCGGACAAAAAATGCAAGCACCGTACCGCGGCCGCTTGCCAGACTCCGATCTTCAAACGCTAACAAGATTTTATTTCTCCATCAGTAAATGATTTGTCTAAAGCTGCTTGAGCCAATATTTATATCGTTTTTATTAACTGTTTTTGACAGATATGCCATATTGAAGAACTACGAGAAGATCCGAGGGAAGGTTGTGGCAGATGTAGGGGCGGGGACGGGAATACTTAGTGTATTCTGTGTACAGGCCGGAGCCAAAAAAGGTACCGGAGTAAGATTGTTAAAATAGAAGCCATAAATCTAGGTGAGATTTTGCAAGCTTGATAGCATCAAATCCAAAGAAAGCGTTTCATTCAATGTTGAGTGATATTATACATCATTTTGAAGTAAAAAAAAAACTCAAGAGAAAATATCTATGAGGTGAATATTTTACTCGGCTATCGGTGATTTGAATTTCCCCTGTCATCAGTTCTAATATTTGGCGTGTTATTTCATTCAGTGATTTAAACCTTTTAAACGTTTCATGTGTGTCATTTTAAATATTTTGCAAAATTCGGTGCTGGAGACTTCATTTAAGCAAATTTAAACTGAAGTTAGTCACATGTATATGAAGTTAGTATATAAACTTCAAATGACTGAAAACATTTTTAACATAACATTTTAAAATATTTTTTTAATTCAAAATTTTTTTTTAAAATTACCTTAAAAAATTATGTCAAAATCCATAATTTATATAGTGCATACAAATATTGCAATCAGATTGAAATCAGATTCTTTGATCCCCTCACATAGATCACTGTGTAGCGATTTATGAGAATGGCATTGAATCAAAGTGAAAAAAATGCTCACCAAAGACCCAGGATCAGAAAACAATACTCGATTTAAATAAAACCTCAATTAATAAAAGATTTTAAAAAATACTAATGTTGCTCAAAATATTATTTTATATTTTGGACAGTGTATGCAATAGAAGGTAGCAGCCTTTCATCCCAAACAAAACTTGTTGTTGCTGAAAATAAAATGGCCGACAGAATAACTGTAATACAGAGTAAAGCAGAGGTATGTCAGACAGAATAACTGTAATACAGAGTAAAGCAGAGGTATGTCAGACAGAATAACTGTAATACAGAGTAAATCAGAGGTATGTCAGACAGAATAACTGTAATACAGAGTAAATCAGAGGTATGTCAAGGAGAATAACTGTAATACAGAGTAAATCAGAGGTATGTCAGGGAGAATAACTGTAATACAGAGTAAATCAGAGGTTTGTCAGACAGAATAACTGTAATACAGAGTAAATCAGAGGTATGTCAGACAGAATAACTGTAATACAGATTAAATCAGAGGTTTGTCAGGGAGAATAACTGTAATACAGAGTAAAGCAGAGGTATGTCAGACAGAATAACTGTAATACAGAGTAAAGCAGAGGTTTGTCAGACAGAATAACTGTAATTTAGAGTAAATCAGAGGTTTGTCAGGGAGAATAACTGTAATACAGAGTAAATCAGAGGTTTGTCAGGGAGAATAACTGTAATACAGAGTAAATCAGAGGTATGTCAAGGAGAATAACTGTTATACAGAGTAAATCAGAGGTATGTCAAGGAGAATAACTGTTATACAGAGTAAATCAGAGGTTTGTCAGGGAGAATAACTGTAATACAGAGTAAATCAGAGGTATGTCAGACAGAATAACTGTAATACAGAGTAAATCAGAGGTTTGTCAGGGAGAATAACTGTAATACAGAGTAAATCAGAGGTTTATCAGACAGAATAACTGTAATACAGAGTAAAGCAGAGATATGTCAGACAGAATAACTGTAATAAAGAGTAAAGCAGAGGTTTGTCAGACAGAATAACTGTAATACAGAGTAAAGCAGAGGTATGTCAGACAGAATAACTGTAATACAGAGTAAATCAGAGGTTTGTCAGACAGAATAACTGTAATACAGAGTAAAGCAGAGGTATGTCAGGGAGAATAACTGTAATACAGAGTAAAGCAGAGGTATGTCAGACAGAATAACTGTAATACAGAGTAAAGCAGAGGTATATCAGACAGAATAACTGTAATACAGAGTAAATCAGAGGTATGTCAGACAGAATAACTGTAATACAGAGTAAAGCAGAGGTATGTCAGACAGAATAACTGTAATACAGAGTAAATCAGAGGTATGTCAGACAGAATAACTGTAATACAGAGTAAAGCAGAGGTATGTCAGACAGAATAACTGTAATACAGAGTAAATCAGAGGTATGTCAGACAGAATAACTGTAATACAGAGTAAATCAGAGGTATGTCAGGGAGAATAACTGTAATACAGAGTAAATCAGAGGTTTGTCAGACAGAATAACTGTAATACAGAGTAAATCAGAGGTTTGTCAGACAGAATAACTGTAATACAGAGTAAATCAGAGGTATGTCAGACAAAATAACTGTAATACAGAGTAAAGCAGAGGTATGTCAGACTGTAGAGTAAAACAGAGGTTTGTCAGAAATAACTGTAATACAGAGTAAATCAGAGGTATGTCAGACAGAATAACTGTAATACAGAGTAAATCAGAGGTATGTCAGGGAGAATAACTGTAATACAGAGTAAATCAGAGGTATGTCAGACAGAATAACTGTAATACAGAGTAAATCAGAGGTATGTCAGACAGAATAACTGTAATACAGAGTAAATCAGAGGTATGTCAGACAGAATAACTGTAATACAGAGTAAATCAGAGGTATGTCAGACAGAATAACTGTAATACAGAGTAAATCAGAGGTATGTCAGACAGAATAACTGTAATACAGAGTAAAGCAGAGGTATGTCAGACAGACAGACAGAATAACTGTAATACAGAGTAAATCAGAGGTATGTCAGGGAGAATAACTGTAATACAGAGTAAAGCAGAGGTATGTCAGGGAGAATAACTGTAATACAGAGTAAAGAGGTTTGTCAGAGAATAACTGTATGTCAGACAGAATAACTGTAATACAGAGTAAATCAGAGGTATGTCAGGGAGAATAACTGTAATACAGAGTAAATCAGAGGTTTGTAATAACTGTAATACAGAGTAAATCAGAGGTATGTCAGACAGAATAACTGTAATACAGTGTAAAGCAGAGGTATGTCAGACAGAATAACTGTAATACAGAGTAAAACAGAGGTATGTCAGACAGAATAACTGTAATACAGAGTAAAACAGAGGTATGTCAGACAGAATAACTGTAATACAGAGTAAATCAGAGGTATGTCAGGGAGAATAACTGTAATACAGAGTAAATCAGAGGTATGTCAGACAGAATAACTGTAATACAGAGTAAATCAGAGGTATGTCAGGGAGAATAACTGTAATACAGAGTAAATCAGAGGTTTGTCAGACAGAATAACTGTAATACAGAGTAAATCAGAGGTATGTCAGACAGAATAACTGTAATACAGAGTAAAGCAGAGGTATGTCAGGGAGAATAACTGTAATACAGAGTAAAACAGAAGTATGTCAAAGAGAATAGGTATGTTATAGTTTTACATAAACTTCTTTTTGTTTCAACGTATTTGACATATTTGACAGATTATTTGTGGAAATTCCTTTAAAAAAGACAAGATTATTATTGCATTTTTATACAGAGTAAATCACCATGTCCGTCTGTCCGTCTGTCTGTCTGTCCGTCTGTCCGTCTGTCTGAATAGACTTTGTCCGGACCATTACTCAGAAACTATTGGAAGGATTTGTCTGAAAATTTGTACACATATTATTCACCATATGAAGTTGTGCACCTGATATTTTTCATCTTGATTGGATTATTATTTTGAATTTTACAGGTGTTTTTTCATTTTTATTTTGGGGTTTTGTTTGGACCGTTTCTCAGAAACTATTGCAAGGATTAATCTGAAAATTTGTACAATTATTATTCACCATATGAAGTTGTGCACCTGGAATTTTCAACTCTTTTTGTTAATTTGTCTGCATTTTATAGGTTTTTTAAAATTTTAATTGACTTGTTCATTTTGGGCTCATGTATAAGGTTTGAGACATAGAATCTAGAATATCTGTACAAAAACGTGAACTACAGCTTAAAACTACTCATAAAAACTTTTTCAAAAAGGAAACATCAAGTGTTAAAAACAGTTTTTACATTGCACAGAAGATAATGTAATTTCATTTGTCTCTTGGGAATAATGACTGGACATGCATCCAGTTAAAGATAAATTAATGCGTTTGGTGTTGGAAGTTGTTTAGGCATATCTCTTATCAAGTGTGTGTGTGTTATCAAATCTTCAGTAATAAGGCACAAGAATTAAAGATCTCCCTTCTCTTATTCTCTTAATTGTAATTTATTGTCTGTCAAAACACTTCATTACTGGATGACCAGTTCTTTATTTTCAAAATGCATTTCAAATTGATATATCAAGATTAATTTGATTTTGTATAATGGTTTTTTTTTTCAACAATCAGTTTGCAGAGTGACATAACACATAATTGCAATATTTTTTTTTAATGCAGTAATGAAGAAAAATTAAATGAAAAAAAAATGTTACAATGGAATTACAATGTATTACAGTATTAGTATTGATGTTTCATTTGGTTGCACCTCCGTTTCATTCATTAAGAAACATGATGAGCAATTATATTTCACTGCAAATTTTTTAAAGTAAATTATGAACATCTCTAGATCCATAAAGTATTTATGAATTGGCACCTTCTAAAAAAGCGGGGGGTATTATTATTGGACAGTTCTAGTATATATTGAAAACGTATTACAAACAAAACAACGTAAAAACTTATTATTGAAAATGAAATTCTCAGCTGTAATACATGTTAATAACCTATTTTCACTCTAAAATAGAAAAGATAAGGAACAGAAAAACCTTTTTTCATTGATCTTGTAGGCAAAAAAGCATAAACTTCTGTCAACCTCAATTCAAAGTATTATATTTCATATCTCAGAAATACAATGTTAAATCACTTCAACGGAACATTGTTTCAAATCATAGAAAACTCTTAACAAGAAAGTCAAATCACTTTTTAATAAATTAAAATTCTAGGATTATTTGTTTCCTGCAACACGATTTTAAACTTATTTTAAAAGGTGTCACACTTAATCATCTTGACAAAAATGTAGTTTCAAATAACACCAAATGAATTCTTAACCTGATTTTTTTCACAGGATGTTAATTTACCAGAGAAAGTAGATGTTGTAGTCAGTGAATGGATGGTATGTATACTGAGTGCTATTTGTTATTCAGTTTTACTTTTATATACATATGAGGGCTGTTCAATAAATAATGTCCTGAACTGTATGACATACACTACAGATATCTTATGACATAAAGCTTGACTTTTTCATGATTGAATTTTTAATGAATTTTTAACAGTTTATATAACCACTTTTCATCACATAGTTTCATTGTGAGAAGCTGGAAAACAAGGGCTATTCGAGACACAGCATTATAAATGACTGGTAAAGAATCAGTAAACAAGAGTGAAAATAAAAGCTTCATTAAAGCTGTTGTAAAACTTTTTTAAAATCCCAAAGAAATATTCACTGAAATATGTGAAATTAACAGCAACCAATGCCTGTTTTATAGACAAGTGAGCAGGTGGCCATGGATTTCAATGATAAAAAAATTATATAATCGGCATCTAAAATGGGTACCGTCCTTGCCAACAAAAATTATATCAACTTATGTACGGCTTGCCAAATTTCAACAACTAATATTTGATGATGTATGATTGACTTTAAAACACATAGCAAATTTTATAGACATCATTTCGGGAGTAGTTTACACTGTTTTTAAGAAACGTTTGACGGTAAAAAAGCTTAGTACTCAAAGGTCACCCTATATTTTGAAAAATGAGTGAAAACGACAGCGTGTACGAGTGTCTTAACATTTATTTTAAAATATCAGTAACTAGTTGAAATTCAAACAGATCATGAAACCTGAATCTATTGCTTAAAACCCTCAAAACAAAATTTACCATAAGATGTACTTGACAGAAATAGCGAAGGTCTGACAAGAGCAAAGAATTGCAAGAGCACAAAGACAGATTTATCTGCAATTTTCTGTTCAAATTTATATTCGGGGAGACAGTTTAATATCTGGAGGAGTCTAGAAAGCTATTTTTTGCAAAAAAAAATCGAAAGGTTTATTAGAGGAAGGACCAGAATTAGAAATACACTGCATTAAATTTCTTCATGACAGCGTCCAAACCTGCACGCCCTGAAAAGTAAACGTGTTTTGGGGATAAACAGAAAATTAATGTTTTTTTTCACTTTAACAATATTCGCCAGATCTTTGACCTTTTGACTTGTTTCTATTTCCAAACTTGAAAAAACACCTTTCAGAAGGAAGAAACAAGTCCAGGATATCATAGGATCTGCCATTTTCCATTATACTAAGGGTCTTACCCAAAAATGAGTTCTAAAAACAATCCGAAATTGGATAAAAAAAATATGGACATGTGTTTTGATTAAAAGAGAATATTGTGTTAACGACGTTCGATCCTGATATTTAAAGTCTTAAACTTTTTTTGCCAAGTATATTTTTAGTTTCTACTTACATAGCTTAATTAAAATTCAAATCAAAAAATGGGGGTCAATACGCTTCTTTTGGCGCTACAGTACATTTAATTTGACCTTTTTGCACTGAAATTTGTGTCTTAATCAAAAATTAAATTTTTGATGTTTTCCCTCCAATATTTTTATCCAATTAAAGCATGAAACAAAATGAACTCTTATTTTGTTTTTAAAAAAAGACACTTTAAAATTGTGACTAAGAAAAAATTTTAATTTTCTTCGCATAATCAATTATTTGACCTTTCTGCACTAATAAAATGTGATTTTTCTGGCATTGAAAATTTAATAAGCAAGAAAATTATTTTAAAGTCTTAAACTTTTTCTGATTTTAAGCAAATAGGTCAAAGGTATCTTGAATATTTAGAAAAGAACATCAAAAGTTGGGGTATATGATGTAAATTTTCAAATATTACTTATGAAAAGTGTCAATTTTACGTTAAAATTGACTAAATTTTTTCCCGCGTTTTCAGAATATATTTACTATATTTGTCACACTTTGTTGAAAGAATTCATAAAAAATAATTTTATAGATATTTCAGAACCAGCATAACACATTTCACTGCAAAAAACAGCTTTGTGTGCAACCAGCATGGAACAATAGGAATCCAAAATTAAAAGTACTGTTATAGTTCAGAAGGGGAAAAACTGATCATTTTCGTATAAAAAACCTTCCACCACAAAATATAGTCCTTAGCTTAATTCTACTTAAATGAAATTTAAGCGCGGTTTTTTCATTGAATTTAGTTTAATTTGCATTGTAGAATTCAGATTTAATGTTAGAACTTAAAAATGATGCAAAATTTTATAAATAATGGACATGACCAAAATCCTTTCAAAAACTCAGGATCCAACGTCCTTAAATCATTAAGACTAAATCACTGAAAAGCGTCTTTTGCTTCTTTCCGAGCACCGAGGACATTATTTATTGAACAGCCCTCGTATATAACAATATTTATTTAGAGATATTATATAAATTTAGCGCTTTGATGAGGTCGATCCATAGATATATCAACTTCACAGAAAAGCATATCGACCGAGCACGAAGTGCGAGGTCGATATGCTTTTCTGTGAAGTCGATATATCTATGGATTGACCGAATTAAAGGGCTACATTTGTTATATTATTTTTTACATAGATTGACAAAACAAAATTTGAAAATAATGGGAACAAGGCACAAGTCTTCTCTCTTTAATGCTTAGAGATTAGAAAGCAAAATAAATTCAGCTATTTAATGTTCATGTGTTTCCTTTATATTGATGGAGTAATTTAGAGGATTTACTTATTCAAAAATACTTAATTTATTTGATTACGTTTTGTATAAATTTTTGACAAAGTTATCCAAAATGTTTTAATATAAAGTAGATCCTATTTCAAGGCATTGTTACGTCTCAACAATTAAGGAACATGAAAAAATAATAATAGAAGTTGTAGTAAATATTTTTTTTCAGATACATCAAGTCATACTTGATGAGTTGATCAGTACTTTTTTTTTTGTTTTACCAAAAAAAAAATTATCTCCATTTTAAGAAACATCAAGTCGGTATGCATTTCAGATTCTAAAAATAGTAACTCAAGTCTTTATGCTGTTATATACTAAATCATGTGATCAAATATAAGCCTATCAGAGAGCTTGGAATAAATGATAAAAATAATATAATTGTATGTCATGTTATGCAGAGTTAAATTAACTTCTCCCAGGACCTACATCAGAGTCAAATAACTTCATAATGTTATTTTATACAAAGAGATACACATGTAAATATAATTTAGAGTCTATTGTTTTATATGTAAAAACGTAACTCAAAGCAGTGCACAATAAAGTTTGTAAAATAAATGTCCTAAAATTACTATGAAAAAAACTCCTTTTGGGCTATTCCTTGCTCAGTCAGTGTTTTATATTATATTTCAGGTCTATTCCTTGCTCAGTTTGTATTTTATGTTACAAGTCTCTTCCTTTACTCCTAACTAAGATAATAACAGTAGTGAAGGAGAAACTTCGAGAGTACTTTAAAATTGCAATAATGTATTCAAGAAGTGGTGTAAATCAAATGTGGATACTTAAAAATTCCAAGGAACCTTTGGAAATTTTGAATCACAAGATCTTACCAAAGGCAACAGCTTAAAAACTTACAATTTTTCAGCTTTTTACAAAACCATTTCTCACGATAAATTAAAGTCTAAGTTTTTTTTATGTCATTGACAGCTGCTTTTTCAATAATAGTATAATTAACCTTGCCACTGGTCATTTACATATCTACTTTGTTAAAAACATTCCGATTGTACACACAAGTACTCTGAAGTTGACATAAAAATATGCTTGAGTTTTTGATTGACAATATTTATGTGGTTTTTGAAGACCAAATCTTCCAACAGTCTGTTGGAATTCCCTTGGGTACCGATTGTGCCCCGTTATTGGAAAACCAGTTTTGTATTTATATGAAGCTGAATTTGTCAAAAATCTTGAAAAGAAGAAAACACTTGCTGTGGCCTTCATCTCGACATTTAGATATATCGACGACGTACTGTCAAATAACAATTATAGCAATTTCTATTCTTATGTCGATACAGTATATCCTGGTGAGATTGAGATAAAAGATACCACAGAGTCTGACACATCTGTTTCATATTTTGATATTTTACTTCACATAGACGTGAATAGTAATCTAATAACCAAGCTCTTTGATAAACGTGATAACTTTAACTTTACAATGTCAACTTCCCTTACTTATGCAGCAGTATACCGTATAAGCAGAAATTTTAGCAAGGATTAAATCTGGCATTATTAGCGAGGCTGTTGAAATCGCTAAAATTGAATATCGCTAAAATTAAATTGCGTTTTATTTGTACTAGCTTCTTGAGTGAGTATTTTAAAATCGCTAAAATTACTTCTCGCTAAAAATAAAATACCAGTTTTAAGGAGAAATCGCTAAATTTGCGTCTCGGTAAAATTTCCACTTATACGGTACCTTCATCACCTGCATACGGAGTAGCATTTGATTCGATATCCAAAAGCAAGCTCTATGTATGAACATTTTTAAAACGTAAATTATTGACAGACAATGTGATAAAACAAGAATTTCGGCAGTCTCGTTTAAAGTCATAATTTCGTAAACTCTGTGGTCGATACAATGACCTTGTCAACAAATGCAATTAATCATTGAGCCAAATGCTGACTGACATAATTCATACTAATTGCTAGTTCATTATTTATTCACTGAATTGACGAAGGTTTTTCCCGTTATTTGCTGATGTGACAGGTCGGCAGGGTATGTTAAGTCCTCTATGGCACTTGATCCCATCTATTATGTTTGGAGGTCCGTGTTTTCTCTGCTCCTATTTTGTATTTTTTTTATGGACTTTTGATCTTGAATTATAATGTTCCTTATCTCCATAAATTGATTTATGTCAGGGTAAACCCTTACTCAGTCATTGATTTATCTTATATTTCAGGGTTATTCCTTACTCAAACATTGTTTTATATTATATTTTAGGGCTACCTGTATTCCTTGCTTGGTCAGTGTTTTATGTTATATTTTAGGGTTATTCCTTACTCAAACAGTGTTAGGGCTACATGCATTCCTTGCTTGGTCAGTGTTTTAGGGCTATATGTATTCCTTGCTCAAACAGTGTTTTATATTAAATATTTAAGGATTATTCCTTGCTCAGTCAGTGTTTTATGTTATTTCAGGGTCATTCCTTGCTCAGTCAGTATTTTATGTTATATTTCAGGGCTATTCCTTGCTTCGTCAGTGTTTTATATTATATTTCAGGTTTATTCCTTGCTCAGCCAGTGTTTTATGTTATATTTCAGGGTTATTCTTTGCTCAGTGTTTTATGACATATTTTAGGGCTATTCTCTGTTCTATGAGTCTATGTTACCTTCAGTCCTTCATATCAGAGATCACTGGATGAAAAAGGTATGTCTTTAGTTTTTTAAGAATTCTCATACATTAGAAGTCTTTTTTCCTTCCATGCTTTAAGGGGTACCGACCCTCTGATATGATACATAACTCTCAGAGACAGAGTACAAAATATGAATACTACTCACAGTTTTCTTAATCAGAGTTTCCTAATTTAGACCTCTGAGTAGTCAATTCGATGAAATCTAACCTGTGATGGAAACATTACTTTCTATTTCTTTTGACAATCTCTTACTAATTGTTTTATTATATTTAACAATAAAACATTTAAATCCTACTTCAAAAGCATTTTAAATTGAATAAGTTGTATTTTTTAAAAGACAATTTTAATAATGGTTTAATGTTTCAAGTACTTAATACAGAATTTTTATAAGACTAGTATGACATTTTTTTTCATATGAAGAAATCTTTAGAAGAAAGATAACTCCTCCTCACAGATGTATTTTTTTCTTACAACCACATACAACATTGTAATTTTCTGACTTAGGAAGCATCGCTTCATGATGTTTTCTGACATGATTTTAATAGGTATTATACTAAGTATTATTTTCATATACAACTCATATTTCAAATTAAATGTTATGATAATAAATCGTTACTGTTTCTGTTCTCTATGTTGAAATTTCTTCATATCATGATCTGACATTAAAATCATTTCTGAAAAAATAAGCTGCGCTTCTTACATCAAACTATTTTCCATGTGGCTCTAATGTTATTGTTGTTCATGAAAATCAACATTAGAAATATTAAATTTTCTGAGTGAAATTTGATAGCAGAGGGTCGGGACCCCTTAACTCAATAATATTAAGGAAAGCTCATTAAAAAAAAATTACTGTCGTCTGGCAAGCCTCTTTAAAAATATCTGCATTCACACATTTGTGTTTATATATATTTTTTTTTATAATTTAATGAAAACATTTTTCTAGAAAGCTAAATGTTTTATAGATATACATGTATATCCGATCATTTTCCAGTATTTTGCGTTTTCCAGGACGGATTAATGTTGCCGTCCTCTGCTGTGCTGTATATAGCCCCGTTTTCTGACAACGAGTTATCAGAAAAGTATGTATGTATATGGTAGCTTTTTTTGGCAGTGTAGTATTAAGAAATATGAAAAATGCAATCAATGAATAAAATATAAATATGATTATTAAGTGTTACTTATGTTGTAATTTTCTTAATTGTTAAACCATCATTTAATTAATAGAGACCTTTTTTCTAATATTCTTTTTCATGACACTATAGATTGGAGATTTGGAGTGCAATGAAGGAAAGATACAAAGTGTCAATGGACTGCATGAAAAAATATGCCAGGCAATGCATAGCACGTAAGGCCAACATAAACATTTTTTGAGTATATTTCAATTCATGCATACAGCACAATATTTATACAGATAAAAGATTTTAGATATAAGATTTCCATCATTTTATGGTGCCAGGTGGGGCCCATGTGCGCTGTGTTTCCCAAGAAGATATTTTATCACACGGTTACCCTATATTTACCTTTGACCTTCATAAAGTGTCCATCTCAGAGATTTCTGACATTCAGGTAAGTAACAAACATTGATAAAGTTGCTCTTCTTGGTTATTTAATATTTCTGTCTGGCTTTTTTAAAGTATAAATGACATTTCTTTATATGCGTTTTTGTAGTTCACAAGAATTTTTTACTTTGAGTATTCCAGTATTAATAAATTGAAACAGCTTGAAAATTCTACACAAAAACATTTTTTTTCTTCTAAACTTTGTATTTTAAATATCCTTTCTTTAGGATAAATCATTAAATGACATTCTTGTTTTTAAGTTACACATTGAATTATATGTGGTCTTTGTTTTGAATTATTGTTCTAGAGAAAATTCGCGCTGTCCTGTTTTGGATCGTCGGTCTTTCACGGTTTTGTTTTATGGTTTACCGTGACATTTCCAGAAAATGTTGTCCTTTCCACTTCTCCTTATTCACAGTAAGTGAGATTTTTATAGTCTTCTAGATATGGAAATTTCCGTTTATCACGAATTTCTTAATTGGCAATCGGAGATTGTGATGCCAATAGTTCATTCAGTTGTAACTACAGTGTATAGAGCTTATGGTTCAAATCTTGGTCTTCGTATTTTCTCTATTTTTCTTATAATCCACTTTTCTTATTATGCATAAAAATAAAAAGACTGTCAACAAGAAACACAAACGAATTTTATTTAATATTTATTCTTTAATATTTTTATTTCCAGAGGAGGCAGGAATTTAAAAAAAAAATTAAAAAAATATCAAGGCTGTTTTCTTTTCAGTTAATAGATTTTTTTTGTTTTACTTCAGATCATTAGTTCCGTCTTGAAAATGTTATTCATCTAAAAGTTTTAAAAGTTTTCAAATGCTTGTACCACCTGTTGATTTCTATCATAACTGAGACTTTTGAATTACTCCTAGAGAGACCCATTGGGGACAGACGTTATTCTATAATGACACAGAGAGGGAGGTGAGACAAGACACTAAGATTTGTGGAAATCTTTCTTTAAGACCAAACAAAAATAAGCCAAGGTAATATCAGGCTCTATCCAGCTAAATTTTGCCAGGTTCATACTATCCACAGGCCTTTAGATCGCTTAGAAAAAAAATTAGGTGTTAAAAAAATAAAGGTATGGAACTCTTTTCATAGGGTACCTACTTTTGCCAATAAAATTCTTTTAAATCAAATGCTTAACAATTTCACTTTCTACCCATATCTATTCATATATAAACAATCTTCATTACTACCAAAGTTCATTCCTTAATTCCTTAAACTCCCCGAGATATTCTGAATTCAATTCCAAAATTGACCTAAATTTACTAGACATCAGCTTCAGCCTTTGAGCTACACTACATGTACTTGTTAAGCGGGAACGATGGGGCAAATTTTCCCAGGAATTTATTCTATACTTAATGAGTATATGTTCATTTGTATTTGAGCTTTACAAGATTTTCTCTAATTTGATCATCTGATCTTACTAAATCACCACCAACATTTTAGCGGTCTTATTGTTTTTAGTATCGAACGGTATATTATAATACATTCCGGGAAAAATTCGTTCAACAATAGCTTCTTTTACCTTCATAATCAACATGGCGGTGCAGTTGTTGATGTAAACGTTTTCAAATTAATTTTTTCGCGAAAGGAATTATTACGGACTTAACCTTACAATCAGAAAGAAGAAATCAACTTTAAAATGTTGAAAGATTTTGCAAATTAATACTATGCAACTCTTTGCTGCACTTTAAACACCGTCTGTTTACATGTGAATGACCATAGACCCAAGCTAATTTCGAGTAAAAAAAAAATAGGTCATTTTTGAAATTGATTTCAGAATATCTCGAGAAGTATATGGAATTTTGGAATGAGCTTTAGTAGAAATGAAGACTGTTTATCTATAAATAGATTTAAACAGTAAGTAAAATTTTAGAGCATTTGATTTGAGAATATTTTATTAGTGAAATTGGGTACCCACTACCCAGTGTAAGAGTTCCATACCTTTATCTTTTTTTACACATACAATTTTTTAAGCGATCTAAAGACCTGTGATACTATCATAACATTTTTGTAAGTAGATAAAAGTGTAGTAATAAGGTAATAAGAGGTTTTGCCACCATATTAGTTATGGAGAATTAACCATTTATACCTGTAATACATGTATAATTTATATAGGTACGATATGTATTTATTTAAAAAAAGGATTAAGAATAGCATCCCAGCGTTTTTATTTATTTAAGGTATGAAGCTTATTTGAAGCTATTATACGATATTACATAACTTGGGGCAGTTTATGCTTCATAAAAAAGCGTAAACTGTGCCAAATTGTGTTATATCATATAACATAGGTTCAAATAAGCTTCCTTCCATCTAATATAATTTCATTGTAGACAATAAGACAATTTTTCCTGCTTCAAATTGAGCATATATTTAAGAAATGAATTTAATTTTTGAAGATTCATGAGGTTATGAACTACGACGTTTCACACCGGCATATTTCATGAAGTGCGTTATTTTTTGTGGATGTACATAAACAAGAATAATCTAGTACAAAAAGTTCATTTTATTTTGGTTTATATTTTCATATATAATAAATGTAAGATATGTAATTTATATCAAGAAAAATCGTGTTCATAGCCATCTCCTTTTACAATTACATGTATTGTATACAACGGTCTCATTTTCCCTTTTTTATGTTATCTGTTTCAACTTCATATACAAAAAAGTCGCAAAGGAATGAGATGGTTCAAATGTGCCATTAAAACTGTAATTTTCATTTTTGACTTTTGAATTGAAAATTAAAGTTATTAGCATCACATCTAAAGGGTGTTAGGAAAGTTCATTCCACATTTTTCTTTTATTTTCGAAAAGAAATACGATGAGATGATATTTACAATTTGTGATAATTTATGTTCACGGAGTCCATTCTTGCTACTGATACAATGTAAGGTTTTAACTTTCTCTTGAATAAGGGAGGGGCAGGTATTGAAACAGATGGTGTCTGTACAGAAAATATAGGGATGACGCATATTTGTGACGTATATTAAGCACAAAGGTCTAAACATCCTTTCAAATACTATGCAAAAATTATCAAGTCAGTGAAAAAATACATAATGACAAACTTATTCTTTTGAAAAGTGATTTATCATTCTTATACATATGCTCATCAGCTTGTCTGATGCAAGATAAACCACGAAGAAACAAAATTAAATTATTCTATACTTTCACTAAAAATGACCTGCAATTATGTCATTTAGGTGCTTTACAGATGTTAATATACATTGTATATATTTTCATTTTGAAGAAAATCCCTATAATTTCCTGCTAGAAATGAATTGCTGTAAATCTAAAGCAAACTCTTTTGATTTTGTCAGACTTGAAAATTCATCTCGTTAGTTAAGAACTACTTTGAATTTTTTGAAAATATTTCATCGTGGAACGAACTTTCTTAACACCCCTTATATCGTTTGACACCTTGTTCAAATACATATTCCATTAGCAGAGGTACTGGTATTTCAGATTAAAAAGTTTGCTATAATGTTAGATATTTCTTTCAATGGAAATATAATTCTTAAAGATTAATTTTAAATGTAAAAAAATTAGATTCTTGAAAAGTTCCCAGAAACTGCAGAGGAACAAAACTATATATTTCTAACACTTTTATAAAATTGTAATTTTGAACTCCTTAAGGAGGCTTGGAATCAACTAATTAACCGTCATTTAAAACATTTTTTGATATGATGTTTTAAGCTGCCAGCTTTCATTGGGCAAATAAAAACTTCACACACTTTAGTTTTAAAATTTGATCACTTTTGTATATCTTTCTATAGAACCCTTCTTCTGCAGTATATCAATATAGTCTGAATATGGTCATTACCACACAGCCCTCTTTATTATATTTTGTCAATTTTTTCACAAAATTATGTGGCATGTTCAAATACTGACATTTTTTTTAACAGATCAGCATTTCTTCATTATTGTCTAACAAAAAAGGCCATTTTTTTCCTGTTAAGAGAATTTCCTGTAGACGTGTGTGCAATAACTGTATTAACTCATTTCCATCGTTAATTCTTTACCCTTCCTGAGTTGCAGATGTTTCTTTGGTTTATGGAATAATTGGGTTACAAAAAATTAATAAAGATTATCATAATTCTACATGTATTTGATCAGTTCTGCTTCTTGCTTGCGTCTTATCATATGATCGTTTATTTTGATTGTGATTGTTTATTTTTGCTTTCAGATTCCTAGATATTCATATAAGTTACCAATTGGACGAAGATGACATGCAACAGAAATATTACTTTATGAGTGACAACATTACTTGAAGATTACACGAATTTATAATGTGTGAGAAATAGTTTGTTGGCATGGGTACTCTGGATGCAAGTGTGAAAACACTGTTTTAAAAGTCAAGTTTATATATTATCTCAATGAAGATATTTTCATATATTTTTTTTTAAAATAAGCTTGAGTAAAGTGTTGGGACATACACAATTGTTCCTCAATGAAAATGGTTGTTAGTAGGTTTTATAAAATAAAAGTAGTTGGCAACCTAAACATGAAAATATGTTATAGATATATAAAAGATTTGCTAATATTCTTTTCATTAATGTGTGATGCCAAAGATAGCAAGGCAAAGGTTTCTGAGCTAAAATGCAGACAAATAAAAAAGCATGAAGATACAACAACAAAAAAATTCTGTTGGAGTAAGTTGTTTCTTGTGTATTTCTCAGAGAAATATCTTTAACGTAAGAACTGCTAAAAGAATCCACAGGAGTCCTTGTGACCTTCTCACGATATCCCCAGCACTGGTGTCATCAGAAAGCCCACTTTTCTCGGTAGGGGAAGTATTTCCTCCTGAAGACTTTGTTGAGGAGGGTTTCTCCGGGGGTTGTGTGGGAGCAAACGTCTTTATAAAGGTCATGGGTGCTGGCGGCGGTGGAGCTTGGGTCGTCGGTTTGCTCGTTTGCCCCCTTGTGGGCAAAATAAGACCGTTTCCGGTGAAGAAAGATAATGTAGTTGTTGCAGGTGGTGGTCCTGTAAAAAAAGATTTTCATTGAAACGCAATTTTCAGTATAGTTGATAATTGTACTAGGTGTTGCCATGCATAAGACAATAACACCCATAGTGTGTTTACCAAGGAATGCACGTCCCTTCATACTTAGATGAATAGCAAATTGACTTTAAAAGTCGCCTTTTCTAATTTCATAAATTTACGTGCATAAAAATATTCCAATGAACACATGACATTATACCTTCTGTTTAAAAATCTCTGCAAATTAATTACTTTCAAAATAGAAATGAAAGAATTAAATGGTGCATGTTTTTTGTTTGAAATTTAAATTTATTTTTGACACACAGAAGAAGGTTTTTGTCCTCCTGAAAGGAAATAAAATTTAAAAGACACCTTACATTTCTACAGGAAAATCCACTCATACTACATTAGTATTTGTATTGTGTTCTGTATAGTGTGATGGACTTTTGAGCTTGAATATTGTTCGTTATCTTGATATATTTTTCTTAACGTGCTAAAAAGAAATAATACCTCTCAGTATGCATTTGCCTTAAAATGAATTTTACTTTGCACCGTGATATGTAACCAAATAGGACACAAGTTATTCTTTAATTTACCTGGGCCTAAATAATGTGTAACAAATGTCATGTCGGTACCTAATTGGTCCTTGGGATGAAATCTACAGGATGCCGCTTTCTTACGCAAGGAGATTTTACTCATAACTACATTTAACATGCACATGGGTTATATTTAAGAACACCTTTGTATTTAACTGAATAGTAAATCTATTGTAGTCTAGGTCACCTACACGTTTGCTGCATCGATGCATGGTCTCACACCAAACGTCTAGGAGCATTCCACTATAAATATTTTTACTTCAGAACGAGGCTTATCCAGAATTTGATAAAGCCTGTGATTGGTTGAACAAAAATAAACATTTGACAGCAGAGTTTTGGCTGATCTTAGAATCGACTTTCCTTTAAAAACATCACAGAAAGTATGCCTGGAGAAATTAGCAAATAGGTTCGACATATTTGCAGTGCTAGCTACGGGTTATGGGAAGTCAATGTTATACCGAAATTGATGCTTGAAGTTGAAGATTGTTTACAGTGTGCCGTAGTAATTTATATAGGTCATTAGTCACCTGGTACACACAGTGCGTATGCAGGTGTAGGAGTTTGCAGATGAAATAATAATCAGTCTAAATGTTAGAGTACACACTTTCTAATCACTTGCTGAATTTAAAAAAAAAAGAAATGTATAGAATGTTTGACAGTATACATGGTATATGCTTATTTACTTTTTAAATTTAATGACTTTCAGCGGAGTCGCCATAAAAATTTAGAGTTAGCGTTCTTTAACAGCGCCGCCCCGTGGTGAAAATTTTATCTACAGTATGCTCCAAGGCGTTTGAGTGGGGGGTCAAACGACTTGCGTGACCTAGGCTAAATCTATTGTGGAGAAATTAAATACCCTAAGTTAAGATGACCCCTAGGAGTTGAATTTATTTCAGTGGAAGACGTAGACAACATAGATAAAAAAAAAACGAATGTTAACCGATATAATTGGGGACTTTTTAAACCAAAAATAATAATAATAATAACTGACAAACACGTTGATAACACAATGCTTCCTTGAACTTTTTTCATAGTCATTGTTAGGCCATTATTAACTTGTTGTTTGTCTGTATTATAATTTATTTCGTTTTTGAAACTGTTACTGCGTATCAAATCAACCGAAAGATACCAACCCTACATGTATATTAAGATGACAAGAATATATTGTCAATTTTGTAAGTAAGGCAAGTTGATAATTGAAACGTTGATGTCATCTTTCTTGTTAGGTTACGATAAACGTCTTTATTTTAGTAAAGTACAGAGGTGTCAAACTCTGTGGTGTTTTTAATTTCGAGCTCACTGAAATGTATTAAGGCAATATGTGAACAAAGATATTTAATGAAAATCAGTTATTATACAAGTACATAAAAATTACCGAGTACATTTTCCCGTAGACAATGAGAAGAATTTTGGATTAGAAAACGAGGGACAGCCTTTCTCTTTGGATGTAATGACAATGTCAATAATGTTTGAAATCTTTCCAGTCCATAGTCACATCCTATTACCGACAACTGGGACAGCGGATGCATTACTGTGACAACAGACGGCAAAGTTGTTTTTCGCTATGACAGAGACCTATACTTAGTAATTGATATATTTTTACAACATTCATTTACTTTCGTTTGGTGGTTTCTCGTTTTGATCTTACCTTGAACTATTTTTCTGCATGTTGAATATAAAACTATGATTTTTTTATTGAAACAAAATTAGAATAGAATAAAGTTAAATTTCAATCGTTTTTCAAGAAAAATTGGTCAAACTGAGCTAATATAATGAAAACTGCTACTCCACGATCACATTTCTTGTTGTATATGATAAATTTAGGCTCCTTACGTCATAACTGCAAAACACGGATAGTTTTTGTTGTTTAATAAACGTGCCGCAAGCGTTTGATTTTGGTGGGTCAAATTATTTTGTCGTGTACAACAGACGAGGTAAACAATGACAGCAGATTTAAAAGGAAATATGGCAATCGGAAGCAATGAATACAAAGTTTTATGAAATATAAATTTGCTGTATCTTAATAAGCTTAAAATTTCGGTAAACGCGTTTTTGGCTGTTAATATTGGTCATATGTATAGCAGTTGTTATACGACAGCTACTGAATCTTTTAATCGATTATCAACATTAACATGTTTTATATGGACTTTTACGAGAAGCACTGTCTTTTACAGTTGACTGTTTACTTGGACATTTAAACATTCACATCTACGGAGGCACAGAGTTGATAATGGAAAAGAAAACCTTTCTGGTGGTCATGGTAATGGTGTTAGGGGCATTTGTAAGTAAAGGACTGAATTCGAGGGTGGGATGGTTGTCCTTTTCTTCAAGGACAATTAATCTATGCTTTGAAATAGCCCGTTATTTTCGTTGAATTATATGTTGAGCTAAATTATTATATCGTAAAAGAGCTTCCGTACACTGTCCTAGTGTGAGAGTAATTCGTCAACTGTAAAAGTTAGCGCTTCTCGTAAAAGTCCAATAAGATGCCATGGACAATTGGTGAACAGTCGTAAATTTTGTTTTCCAGCGAGAAACAAAAAAACAGATAATTGGAGCTGTACAATATCCTAAGCTAGAGTAAAGTACTTAATAAAGTAAAGTATCTAAATATAATAAAAGTATTCAATTTTTTATGTACAAGTCGTATGTCGTTATAAACATGGGTTTTTGATTGCTAATTTGGGCATTCCTTACGAAGCTGTTATGTTTGCAGCAGACTTCAGCAAACAAAATTATTACAGATTATTGCCGCAAGCTACGATGTTGCGGCTAAGATTACAACTACTGTTATAAGCTTGCACCAATCTTGCAGTAACTCAAAATGTTTACAGGAACATTGCAAGAAAGATACGAGGGTTGTTCGATATGTATTGTGTATTGTACCACAGCGCGATAACGCCTTGCACGGTTTCGTCGATATTTATACGCCTGGATAACTCTATTCAATACCTTGCCAACAGTATAAACACGAGCCTTCATCTACACATGGTTATAAAATAATCGTCATTTCAATAGAGCCAGTCGTAGACCACTGTTGTAAAAATGGTCGGGAAAAGGGTTGAGAATATTTAAGAAATTAGAGCTAATATAAAAGTTCGCACAAAACTCGGTAATTCGGTAAAGCAGATTTTTACTGAATTGGGGGAAGTTTATGGGTCTGATAAGGTATCTTATGAGACAGTTCGTAGGTGGGGACAGAAATTTCTGACTGGCACAGAGTCCGTCAAAGGTGCAGCAAAATCGGGTCGACCTGTGACTGTATCAGGCAAGACAAATGTCTCAAAAGTCAAGGAAATAATTGAAAAAGATGGCAGGTACACGATTCGTGATATCGCCAAAGCTGTTGGCATATCGCTATCGCCGGTGCATTTCATTTTGAAGCGTATTTTGAAAGTACGAAAGATTTCTGCCAGATGGATACCCCATATATTGACAGATGACCAAAAAAGGTACGAATACAAACCGCTAAGTGACTGCTAAAAATGTTTCCAAACTTCAATCAAAGACAATTTGCAAACATAGTTACTGGTGACGAAACATGGGTTCACTATTTCGAACCAGTATTAGAAAAGTTGAAAACAAATTATGGCTAACCAAACACGGTAGAAGGCCTGTAGTTGCCAAAAGGACAATGAGCACAAAGAAGGTCCTTTATTGCATATTCTTCTCTTGTGATGGTTTAGCAGTACAAATTCCGGTGCCGAAGGGCAAAAGTTTCACAGGCCGGTATTACCGAGATGTTGTACTGAAAAAGCTCAAGAAACAAATTATGGCTAACCAAACACGGTAGAAGGCCTGTAGTTGCCAAAAGGACAATGAGCACAAAGAAGGTCCTTTATTGCATATTCTTCTCTTGTGATGGTTTAGCAGTAAAAATTCCGGTGCCGAAGGGCAAAAGTCTTACAGGTCGGTATTAACGAGAT